AGGCACGCGCCACCATGCCCAGCTAATTTTTTGTATTTTTAGTAGAGACGGGGTTTCACCATGTTGACCAGGATGGTCTTGATCTCTTGACCTCGTGATCCACCCGCCTCGGCCTCCCAAGGTGCTGGGATTACAGGCTTGAGCCACCGCGCCAGGCCCATTTTTTCTTATGTCTAGATCAAATGTCAAACAAAAGAACTCCAGATCAACTAATTCAGGAACGAGAACGGAGTCTTCTCTTGTGCTTTGACTATGCCTTGGCCATAGGGTGAACAACCGTCCCAACCTGCCTGGGACTGAAGAGTTTCTGGAGACATGGGACTTCCAGGACTAAGAGTGGGAAAATCTTAGGCAAATCAAGATGAGTCACCCTACTTGCCCAAGAAGCAGTAGCTGCTTGTTGATTGCTAACTATGGTAGATATTATCCTATTTGTCAATATTTCTGATTCTCTTCTCCTTCTGGACACGCATTGCACTTTCCCATCCCCGTAAAGTTGGGCAAAATTGTGTGACATGCTTTGGCCAATGAAATGTGAGTGGACCTCCATGTGTGTTCCCCCCAACTGGAAGCAGTTAAGCCCTGTGCGCTATTCTCTGTACACTCCCTTCTCTTTGCCCAGCAAATTCTAAAGTCACCATGTTGAGAAGGCTGCGCTACAGGATGATATGGAACTTCTCTGCGAAGCAGAGCCCTCTGCCTGCCCATGCTGGACATGTAGTGTGAGCAAAAACCTATCTTCTCTAGTGTTAAGTCACTGAGATTTTTAGGCTTTTTATTATCTCAGCAAAACCTCTCCTAACCTGACTGGTATGCCAACCATCAAAAATCTCATTGGCAACTTTGTCAAACTCAAGCTGCTCAAGTTTCTCAGGCACAAACTTCAAAACACATGACCAAAAATCCCACAGTGGGAAAACGGGAAATCAGAACCTGCTCTCCCAGGAGGCCTGGAGAGGCCGGAGGCAACACGTCTTGAGAACAGAGGCTCCAGGGAAAGAACTTGCCTCCTGCTTCCCACCCACCACTCCAAGCTATTCATTTTATTTTCTTTTACTTTATTTATTTTTAGAGACAGCATCTTGCTCTGTCACCCAGGCTGGAGTGCAGTGGCATGATCATAGCTCACTGTAGCGAGAAACTCTAGGGCGCAAACGATCCTTCTACCTCAGCCTCCTGAGTAGCTGGAACAACAGGCTCACACTACCATGCCCAGCTTATTTTATTTTATTTTATTTATTTTATTTTATTTTATTTTATTTTATTTTATTTTATTTTATTTTTGAGGTAGAGTCTCCCTCTGTCACCAGGCCGGAGTGCAGCGGCAATCTCAGTTCACTGCAACCTCCGCCTCCTGGGTTCAGTTGACTCCCCTGCCTCAGCCTTCCAAGTAGCTAAGACTACAGCTTCGTGCCACCATGCCTGGCTAATTTTTTGTATTTTAGAAGAGACGGGGTTTCACCATGTTGTCCAGGATGGTCTCCATCTCCTGACCTTGTGATCCGCCTGCCTTGGTCTCCCAAAGTGCTGGGATTATAGGCATGAGCCACCGCACCCAGGCAATTTTTTTTTTTTTACAAGGTCTCATTATGTTGTCCAGGTTGGTGTCAAAGTTCTTGCCTCAGCCTCTCAAAATGCTGAGATTATAAGTGTGAGCCACCCCACCATACCTGGCACTAAGTTATTAATTTTAATTGTTGACATTAAAATTTGAGATCAATTTTAGAGCGTTCAACTCTTCAACATATAGATGAGAAACTCCCAGAAAGGAGACTGGTTCAGGATCACTTTAGGAGTCTGGATTCTCATGCTCACAATTTAGCCGTCTTTGCCCTTTATGTTGCTTTTCAACCTAATTAATCACAGTCATTGTCCATTTCTTTACGATTTCACAGATCTGCCCATAGCTTGATGATGAAGAACTAATGATAATTTCACGCATAGGTTTAAACACATTTTAAAAGAAAACTTTTTCATATTAAAATAGTATTTTTATTATAATAGTAATAAATGCATACTCATTTTTTAATATAAGAAAATGAAGCCAGGTTCAGTGGCTCATGCATGTAATCCCAGAACTTTGGGAGGTTGAGGTGAGGGAATTGCTTGAGGCTGGGAGTTCTAGACCAGCCTGGGCAATATATAGTGAGACCCTCTCTGCAAATTTTTTTGTTTTTGAGATGGAGTCTCGCTTTGTTGCCAAGGCTAGAGTGCAGTGGTGTGATCTCAGCTCACTGAAACCTCTACCTCCCAGGTTCAAGTGATTCTCCTGCCTCAGCCTGCCCAGTAGGTGGGGTCACAGGCGTGCACCACCATGCTTGGCTAATTTTTGTATTTTTAGTAGAGATGGGTTTCACCATGTTGGCCAGGCTGGTCTCAAACTCCTAACTTCAGGTGATCCATCTGCTTCAGCTTCCCAAGGTGCTGGGATTACAGGCATGAGCCACCCCGTGCCTGATCTACAAAAATGTTTTTGTTTTTGAGAGGGAGTCTTGCTCTGTTACCCAGGCTGGAGTGCAATGGCATGATCTAGGCTCACCACAACCTCCTCCTCCCAAGTTCAAGCAATTCTCCTGTCTCAGCCTCCCGAGTAGCTGGGACTACAGGCATACACCACCGCACCTAGCTAATTTTTATATTTTTAATAGAGATGGGGTTTTACCAGATTGGTCAGGCTAGTCTCGAACTCCTAACCTCAGGTGATCCACCTGCCTTGGCCTCCCAAGGTGCTGGGATTACAGGTGTGACCCGATGTTCCTGGCCTACAAAAAAAGTGTTTTTAAAAATTAGCTAGGCATGGTGGCATGCACCTATGGACCCAGCTACTTGGGAGGCTGAGGTGGGAGGATCACTTAAGCCTGGAAGGTTGAGGCTGCAGTGAGCCATGATCACTCCACTGCACTCCAGCCTGGGTGACATTGCAAGATCCTGTCTCAAAAAAAGAACAGTTTTAAAATTTCAAAATCTCACCAATACAGGGTAGTCATTCAATGCTTATTTTTTTAAATGAAAATGAATTTGTTATGTTATGTAATACAAAAAAATTCATCATCAATATTTTTGCTGGTTATATGGCATTCTATTTTTATGAATACAGCATAATTGATTTACCCAAGCTTCTTTTCTTGGCTATTTAGGTTGTTTTGGGTTCTTTGTTTTTAATCGTGAGCACTGTTGCAATAAACATTGTTAATTTAAGTATAATTTAGGCATACCCTGTTTCTTCAGTACCTGTGGAGCACATCCTATAGCAGGGGTTGTCAAACTTTAGCCCAGGCCAGAAATGTCTGGAATCCTTATGAAGCTATAGATTCCTAAGCCCCATCCCCCAGAGTTTAGGCCAGGGGTGGGGCCTGAGAATTTGCATTTCCAACAAAGGCAGCTGGTAGCGCTGACACTGCTAATTTGGGAATCACACTTTGTAAGCCACCATTCTCTATTATACTTGCTTTTGAGAACCTAATACCATGTTTCCTTAGTTTTCTTTCTTACACACTTTTGCAACTGGTTTTGTACTCTTTGGAGGGAGCAATTTTTTTGAGGTCTCATATTCTTTCCCCATTCATGACTCTAAGCCTTTCACAGCACACCTTTCCAAGAGTTTTTGGGCCTGACTCTAATATTCCCATATACATGCAAATAGGCATACACACTAATTTTCAAAATTAATTATCTTTTTCCTGCATTGCCACTCCAGAAACCTCAGCTAATAAAAACGTGAAGATAAACAAAAGTTCCTTTTCCTAGACACTGATATTTTATGTCTCATATTCTCACCAGACCTGGCCCGCCTCCTGAGGTTGTTGTGATGAATAATACCTATCTAAGAAGGATAGAGTCAAATATCATAGATGCTTGTGAGGTGGAAAAAACAATCATCCCAGAAGTGAGGAGACATTAAAGTTAAACTTGGTATTATTGGCTGGGCGTGGGACCCAGGGCTTTGGGAGGCCAAGGTGGGCAGATTACCTGAGCTCAAGAGTTTGAGATTAGCCTGGTCAAAATGGGGAAACACGGTCTCTACTAAAAATACAAAAATTAGTTGGGGTTGGTAGTGCACGCCTGTAATCCTCCTAGCTACTTGGGAGGCTGAGGCAAGAGAATCACTTGAATCCGGGAGGCGGAGGTTGCAGTGAGCCCAGATTGTGTCACTGCACTCTAGCCTGGGCAACAGAGTGAGACTCTGTCTCTAAATAAATAAATAAACTAACTAAACTTAGTATTATTATTTATTTGTAGGCAACTGAGTCAAAACTTAGGTTCTGGAGTTAGAATTGTGTTCTGTGCAGTGGCTCATTCCTGTAATCCCAATGCTTTTGGTAGCCAGGGCGGGAGGATTGCTTGAGAACAGGAGTTCAAAATCAGGCTGGAAAAAATAAAAGAAATTAGCTGGGTGTGGTGGTGTGCGTCTGTAGTCCCAGCTACTCAGGAGGCTGAGCTGGGAGGCTGGTTTGAGCCTAGGCGTTTGAGGCTGCAGTGAGTTACTATCTTGCCAAAAAATAAATAAATAAATAAATAAAGGAACTGGATTCTATCTGGGCTGTGGTAACTTACTAGCTATGTGACTTTAGACAAATCATTTTGCATCTCTGAGCACCATTTCCTCACCTGTAAAACGGAGGAAGTAATACCTTTGTTGCACGGATAGGGCAAGAAATAGGAATAAAATGTATAAAACAACTGGGACTAAACAGCCCTCGATGAAGGATAGCTGTTATGTTTATCGAACAATTGTTTAATTACATCCCCCCCCGGGCCCTTTCTTAGCTGAGGGTTCGAAAAAGCATCTGTTGCTCCTTAAGGTCCCCCCCTCACCCCCGCCCCAGGCCCTGGCCGGAGCTTCCTATCATTTGGAAAGATTCTGGTCACCTGCCTCTGGTGGCGGCGCCACTGGCCCTGCGGGCTACGCGGAGGCCCCGCTCTTCGGGTATTTACGGCGCTCGGCCGCCCCAGCTCAGGCTCAAGTCTGCGCTTCCAGGTTCAGTTTCAGGGTCTCGCCGGCAGCCCCAGCCGGCGGGAGCGGAGCAGAGGGCGGGGCCCGGACTGCAGGCTCCTCTGGGGGCCCCGGACTTGGGGAGCGGCGTCTGGGAGCCCCCGGAGGAGGATGGGCTGCAGACACAGCAGGCTGAGCAACTGCAAAACCCCCAAAAAGGTAAAGGGCGCCGGCGGAGAAGTTTGCTTTCAGAGGAGAGGGCAGTGCGGAACCGCTCCGCCGCAGGGCACTCGGCGCCCCGGGCTCCCTCTGGTCGGCCTGGGGTACCGGACGGAGGACCTAGAGAGGCCGGCTCCGAGACGGGGAGGCTCTGCTGGGAGGCGCTCTTCACCCCGGCCCGAGCCGCACCAAGCAGCCGAGTTTACAAACACGGCACCCGCGCCAGGGAACGGCAGCTAATTTCCGCTGCCTCGGTGGGGAGATGTCGAGCGTCTGTGGCAGGTGCCCTCTGCCTTCGGTCTGCGGCTGCTCGCTGTGTGGTCATGGACAAGTGACTTGACCTCTCTGGGCCTTTGGCTTCCTCCCCCCGGGTCAGAGGCTGATAATCTCATGGCTGCTCGCAGAGTGTTCTACCGACTGGTAGTATCGGCATCACTGGGAACCTGTTAGAAATGCAGAATCTCAGGCTCTGGCCCAATCCTGCCAAGACCGAAGCTGCGTTTTAACAATATGCCCAGGTGATGACGCTTTAAAGTTTGAGGCGCTGGTCTTATTAAGGCTTTTGCAGGCCCCGGAGCCACTGAGTGTGGGCTGCCCTTGGGGTAGCTGGGAGGGGCGAAAGAGGGAGGTGATCTACTGCCTTCTGCGGCCCTCTCCTCCTTTCCTGTCCTTCCCCCAAGGGGCCTTGGAGCTGGGTTAGGGCCCAGGGGACTCTACTCAGGTTTCTTGCGGTGAGACCAGCTGCCCCTTGGGGGCTGACGAGCCCAGAAGGTCAGAGCCTGGAGCTAGAAGGACAGCCTCCTCAGGGGACACTGAGACAGAGGGGAAGGAGGTTCCTCAAGTTCTGGCCCTTTTTCCTACCACTGCCTGCCCCTAGCCAGGTGGGACTAGATGATCCCATTAACTTTATGATCATTCTCCCTTGAGACCCTGACGGGCTCCAAACTATGACAATATTTAATAGTTTTGCAATGAACTTCAGTCCTCCCTCGGCTCTTGCTTTGCTTGTGCCCTGAGTACAGGTTTTTCTGCCTAACTACTGTCCTAGCCTGGAGGGTTCTACTCCTTGCTCTGTCTGAAGTACATTACCTCCCAGTTTTCCTTGCTCTCCTTTCAATACCGGATTGAAAATCGTCACCAACCCCTGACCTAGACACCCTCATGTCTTTCCTCATTCCAACAGGGAAACTGAGGCTTGGCGCTATCAGTAGAAGAAAGGGGCTGGCTGACAGGGATGACAAGATGGAGATACCTGAGCCTGGGCTGAGACTTGTAACTGAGCAAGTGGTAGGCGGACAGCAGTCCTAGGTATAAGTCCTGGTAGTGCCACAAACATACTAGGTGACCGCAAGCAAGCCTTTGTGGCTCCCTGGGTCGCAATTTCTCCCTATATGGGGAGTGGTGAGCAAGATGATCCCTAAGAGTCTCAGAGTCTGTATTCTCTGCACCTGTGTCAACCTTGTAGCTTGCAAAGTGGACCAAGGGTGAATTCCATCTACCCAGAGGTGGAGGAAATGGGGAGGAGCCTGACCCTTCCACAAGCTGGAAGAGGAGGTCACAAGAAGCACAGCTCCTTTGGCTCCTGCTCCTTCCAAGAGACTTACCAGCTGTCCCTGCCTGTCCCTGGCACAGCCAAAGCTCTGAAGGGCAAGTAAAGCTGGCACAGCATTTCTGAGTTGGAAAGAGCCTTGGGTACCACCTAGGCTGATGCACCCACTATACAGATAGGAGGTTAAGGCCTAGAAGAGGGAAGGGGCATGACTGAGATCACAGAGCAACACGGAGCAGAACCCAGGTGTCCAGTGCCCTAGCCCGGTGCTCTCTGTCTCCACCCCCTCCCACTGTGCTTCCAGTGGCTTCTTGATGACTACAAACAAGACCCTTTAGCATAAAAGGTTTTACTTTGGTTGCCTCAGAACAGCCTGGCATGCCTTCTTGGCCCCAGCCATGCCAGGCCCCTGCCCCTATATGGCAAGATTTATGGACTGGTTTTGTTTAATGCTCCCATCCCTCTAGGCTGCGCACCTGCCCAATTTCTCACCCAGGTGTGAACCCCTTGGAAGGCATGAGCTCCCAAGTTCATCTTCAACAGGCTATTGGCCCCCTGGGAGAGAGGAGGACTCCAGGGATGGGATGAACAACAATGAGCTCAGGCCACAGAAGGGTTAGGTTCTGAGAATCATGACTCACCCTGCATGTTTGCAGAATGCTTTCACATCCTGCCCAGCCTCACAGAAGCCCTGGAAGCAAGGCTGAGCTGTGGAATCTTTCCCACTTTACCAGTGAGGAAACTGAGGCTCAGTGGCGAGTGATGGGTCCAAAGTCACAACGCCAGTTGGTAGCAAAGCTGTGCAGTTGAGCCTGGCTTTCTGCACTGCCTATCTGGTGCTCATTGCTTTATGCAGACCATGGAGCAGGTGCTAAGTAGATATTTGAGTGAATGAGGGACAAATAAGAGCCGTGTTAGGGGTGGCCCAGAGAGCAGCAGGAGCATCACATCCAGCCTTGAGAGATGCAGGAAGGGTTTTTGGATGGAGGGTGATTTGGAAGGTATGGCAAGAGTTGCCCGCTCATGGCCAAGGCTCAGCAAAAGCTGAGCCACTGAAAGCACAGTGTGAGGGGGTTCTTTGTGGAGAATGGAGGTGGCAGGCAGCAAGGAATGAGGCTGGTGCTTTTAGCAAGGACTATCCTGGCTAGAGACAGGAGCTTACTCATGAGGCCTTCTCAAGGTCCCTCCAGGTTCAAGGATCTGAGGATCTGCTGAGTTCTGTGGTCTATGGTGCCTGTTGGGTTTGGCTGACTAGCTGCTCTAGACCACCCCGAGAGGCCTGGCCTGGGCCTAGGTCACTGCCTTATTGGAACAAGTTGAAATGCTGGAAATGAATGAATAGGGTTCCTGGCAGTCTGGGGGTAGGTGCTGCGGAAATGTCTGGATCATGTGGTCCTTCCTAAACCTTTATTCTCCCTAAAAACCATGGCTAATGCAGTCATATCCCCCAGGAAGACTCAGGAGGCCAGGCAGAGTGGGTAGGGGTCAAGTAAACAAGCCTTCTGGGGGCTTGCCAGACATGGGGGTAAGGAGGGGCCTTCCTATCCCCAGCAGGTTACCAGCCTCCCTTGGGCAATAAGGTAGGGGGGCAGGAGGCACCTCATGGCCAACCCCCTTTGTGTGACACTGAAGAGTGCCAGGCATGATGTCTCAACTCTCCAGTCCCAAAGGCTGTGGCTATGGGTCCATAATTCCAAGGAGGGCCTCTGAGAAGGGGCTTAGCACTGTGCCAAGTACCTGGGCCTCAGGTGACAGGTACTTGGTGGATCAGTCATTCAGCAGCCCTCCATGAGCACGTCCATGTAGCAAGCCAGGTGATAGAAATGAATGACATGGAAGAGGCTGGTGCAGGCACGGGTAATTCTGAAATCAACCAGTAGACACCAAGGGCACGGACTTTAAAGCTCAGTTCACCTATCTGTTTATTAACTTGGCAAACATTTGTGTGTCGACCACACTGGCTCTGGGCTGGGTGCTGCTTCAGTTCTGATTACATGAAAGATCTGTTAAGTGACCTTAAAAGAGGCTTGGCTTCTACATGCCTCAGTTTCCTCATCTATAAGATAGGCGCGCTATTAGGTTAGATGAGGCCACCTGTAATCCCAGCACTTTGGGAGGCTGAGGTGGGCGGATCACCTGAGGTCGGGAATTCAAGACCAGCCTGACCAACATGGAGAAACCCTGTCTCTACTAAAAATATAAAATTAGCTGGGCATGGTGGCATATGCCTGTAATCCCAGCTACTCAGGAGGCTGAGGCAGGAGAATTGCTTATACATGGTAGGCGGAGGTTGCAATGAGCTGAGATCGTGCCATTGCACTTTAGCCTGCGCAACAAGAGCATAACTCCGTCTCAAAAAAAAAAAGATAGATGAAAGACTGTATGTGACAGAGCCCCTGATACCCTGACCAGCGGGAAGGATGCCTTTGAAAGAGGCCTTTGAAAGAGACTTAATGTTATGCTTTAAGGACATCACTGCCTAGATTGTACCCAAGAAAAGTACCCTGGGTTGTGGGAGGTAAGGAACGTTACTGTCCTTGGAAGGCTGACGTGTGCAGGGCGGGGAGGATGCAGCCTAGAGTCTGGCCTCTCCCTTCAAATCTCTGAAGTCTTGTCAAGGGGCACAGAAGGCAGCTTTGTTCTCTGTTGTTCCAGAAGGCAGCACTGTGGCCAGTGGGGGGTGGCTAAAGTGAGCCAGATTTCTACTTCTCATGAGGAAGAAGCGGCCAAAAAGGCCTCAAAGGTAGTGAGTTCCCCATCATTGGAGGGGTACAAGCAGGGGTCAGGTGGCATTTTGACAAGAATATTAGAGGGGACACAAGCCTATGACCAGCAAATATTTGCAATTCCATTCAAAAAAAGGAATTAGTCTGATTATTATGTTTCTAGTCAAAATTTCAAAATTTGGGAAAGAATAAGAAATTTTAAAATCTTTTAATCTCACAGTTAAGAGATAGCCACTGTGTACATTTCAGTGGTGTTCGTTATACCATTTTTTACTATGTATATTATAGATGTGAGCATGACTATCTGTATAAAGCTAAGAATATGTTTTATATGGCTATATTCCAGTTACTTAGTATTCTTCCGGGGGCATTTTCCCATTTTAAGTAGTCCATGGAAACATGGACGTTTTAGTGGCTACTGAATGTCCCATGGCTGTTCCGTGGCTTAATCAGTTTGGACACGTGGTTCTTTATAGTCTACACTCCTACCCTGGTAATCAATGAACATTCTTGTGTTTTCCTCCTACCTGAGGCCAGCGTGACTTTGGACTTAGAGGGGGTCAAGGAAGGTCCCCTAGAGAGACGGCATCTCTCTAAGTTGGGCTTTGAAGGTGGGTGGGGGTTAGGCAGTTGTGGGGCCAGTGGGTTATGCAGGAGGGCATCCTAGGCAGAAGGAATACGGGAGCAGCCCTTAAGACCTGGTCAGGAGGAGTGGGCAAATCTGA